AAGAAAAAAGTCAACAACTGCGGCTAAGCTACAAGACGGAAAGCTCTCCAATGTGCGGCGGCTCCCCTTCCGAGAGGGAGAAGAAGGAGCTCCCTTTTTTCCTGCGCAATTTTCCTATATAAAGTAGTTCTCCTTGCGGCGGCTCCTGTGCGGAAAAATGAAGACCTCGGCCCAATTTGCCCAACAAGGGCTCACGTTTTGTTGTTCCAAAAATGCCCCTAGGACAAGCTCTATCATCTGAACTCTTTTCTTGCCAAATTAGCACATGTTATTATATTTTCGTTCTACTCCCTGAAATAAATGCAAAATATCAAAAGTGAGTAGAATCTAGCAATTAATCCACATTAGGTCAGGTAATAGGGAAAATTAATAATAAAATAAATGATAAAATTGCAACCTATCAATTGTTTAATTAATTGATTGTCTTGGATCCGGATAATTAGTTAATTTGGTAATCTATTGTCAATTGGGACGTTAAATCCGTAATTGTTTAATTGTCTCAAAATAGTGATAACTGGCATGATTGGGTTTGTGTCAGGGGGATACGCGGGCTAATCTAAAATAACCCTGGTAGTGCGTTATTTGATTAGAATGGGGCTCCTCTAATACGTAAGGCAATTGGGGAATTAAATTCTATGGGCATACCTAGGATTATTTCTCAATTAGAGCAGTGATTAACGGGCGTACCTTAATCATCGACACAGTAAGGAGGGGTTGATTGTCATCGCTTGTTTGGCAGTTATAACCTATTTATTAGTAAATAATTGGAATTGCCTCTGCTTATCGATGATCAATTAGGTGAACCATTGCTGAAGTTATTTCTTGGCTAGATCCTTAATTATCACTCATTAGATTTTAGTAAATTGTTATTTAATTTCTAGTTGGCTATTTTATTTTTATTATTTTACTTTTAGTTGATTTGTTTAAATTGTCACTCCTGATATAAAACACCCCCCTTGTCACTGTGTATTTGGAAATGAACAATTACTCCCAGTCCCTGTGGATTCGACCCTGCTTACTGCTATCTACAGAAATTACTTTTAGTTTGAGCAGGTTTTATTATTGCACAGGCTGACGACCTGTCAGAAAGCGAAAATCTTTTAAAGTTTAAGAAAAAGGGGTCCCTTTCTAATTGGACAGTGCCGACACAGATGCTTTTTAGCTACAAAATGAGAGTGAAATAATTCATTCAAAAACCATAAAGTAATGAATAAAAAAAATTCTTTGCTTTTCCAAACCGAGATGCAACTTTCACGTAATTCCTACACTACTGTCACCACTACGTTGTTATTTGTTAATCTTTTCTTTCTTGCTCCGTTTGTTTGTTGAATAATTGAATATTCCACAGAAGAAATACTTGCTAGATCTGGAGAAGGCGAGATTTGTTAATATTTCTCCTTATGCTACACTAAAATTTGGGAGTGAAATTGAGGAATTTCCTTGCATTATAAGAGATGGAGATGACCTCCGCTTGCATTGATCGGATCTGATCGAGCTCATATGTAAGTAGATATTAATTATAATATTTTTCTTGAAGGAATTTAAAATAGACGATCAGTATTAATGTTAAAATTTACGTCTATATAGCATGAGGTTTGGGAGTATTTTCTTAATCAAACTACTTGATTTGATACTTTGATCAAACTGCTTGAACTCAGCCAGCCAATATCGAGGCAGTTTTGCTGCTAAAAAGCCGGCTTGCGTGATTCGTTTGAGGCAATTTTTAAAATCTCAAGAGATCTCATTGAAATTGTTAGAAATCTAGGGAGGTTTTTGAAATTATTCCTTAAATTTAGTCGCAAGAGAATATGAAAATATTCATGCGGCATATATCAATTGATCTAAAGAAAAGAGATAGATTGGATGGTTCGAAAAAAGAAATGTCAATGAGAGATTGTGAATTCGAATACTTCTACAGTATCATTTGAGTCTCCAAAAATCTGAGTAGAATTGCTCACATATAAAAAAAATGGAGCAAGTAAGAATCACAAGGATAGAGATCGATTACACATTGTGAACGGTATCTTCTCTTATCCAAGACATTGCCCCTTAATTAAAGGCCAACACTTGAATTAAAGAACCAGAAAATGGGTCATCCACTAGCCATGCTTGAGTAACTTGACTAGAACAGTATCCGGTCTTCACCAATCTATCGAATTCTCCACATGGATCCCCTGAATGGGGAAGAAAGACTATAAAAATGTTTAAGAGTCGAGTTGATTTCTAATAGCCCAGTAACTAGTACATGCTTGTATTAGCCTGCATTTCGGTTCTAACTCTTCAGACTATTACCACTAATTCTTATTCGACTCGTGGAAGTTTTCCACTTAAATACTAAGAATTGATATCCGACATTTAAAAATCGGTATGTGGTGTGATACCCTTGAGCCCTGTATTGAAAAGCAAGGAATGGGACGGTTCTCTGGCCGTGCCTGGCCCGAAAAACAACCAGTCTCCCATATCTCTGGCTTTACAAATAGACCCCCTGATTGTGGAAGAAAGACTAGTGAGAAGACTTCAATTAATTTCCAATGGCCACACTGAAACGGGCATATACTTGTGTTTGAATATGAGATTATTTGGAATAATTTTTTTTAAAAGATATTCTATTATTTTTTTGATGTGATATATATGAAATAAAAATATAATTAAAAATGTGTTTATGAAATAAGTAGATAATTTTGTACAAATAATTAGCATGCATTTAAGTCCGAACTCTTGAAAAGAAGTACTACTACAAATTAGTAGCAGTTTTCACTTCTTTAATCCAATCATTTTCTTTGACCGTTGTATATTGGCAACATTAATTTTGCAAGTTATTGTTTTACTGTTTATGTTTATTATCTTAGAGTTTACATTTATTATTGTAATGCATATATTTTATGATATAATTGACACTAGTAATTGCAGAAATCCCAAATTCTCTGCTTCCACAGTATCAAGGGTTGAAGAAGCCCTCAATTTTTTTCTCTCATGCTTTTTACTTTGTTGGTCAGGCCATTAATCTCCAAGATCAATGGTCATGAGTATTAATACGAGAGAATTAGAAGAGAAAGTGATCAAAATTAGTGATTTGCTCAAGAAAGAAAACAATTGAAGAAAATTAGAGAGCTAGCTTGAAGGTTCATTATATTTTGATGTCTCTTGGATCATTTATATTTTGATGTTTCTTTATTTTCTGTTCTTCCACTGAGCCCACCACTTGAATGTGTCGGCAAGTGGTTTTTCCTTTTTGCTTTATTGAGGCAATATAAATGTATAATAGAGAGGGGGCTGATCCGTCTGGACCACTCTTGCTTTGGACAATAAAATCATCAAAGTGTCTTAATTCCCCCTAATCACTGCTGTTATTGTGAATCAACGCCACTAAAACATAGGCTTTTATGAATGTTGATGACAGAGTCAACTAATTTTTATCAATTTTCATTTGTAATTAGTTCAAGATAAATTTGGATTTTGGGTGAAGCCAATTTAACCCAATGCGTGCCTGGCTTCTTCACCTTCTCACCAGAAACAAATAAGTAATTTTCAGGAAAGAAATACTTTGCTAGCTCTGCAGTTAGTGAGATTTGCTAGCTCTGCAGTTAGTGAGAGTGAAACTGACGAAAATCCCTGCATAAGAGATGGAGATGGCCTCCACTTGCAGCAGCGATCGTGTCTTCCTTGATCTACAGTTGCTTCTGAACAGATTCCGAGACCGGTATGTTCCTTACGATGTTCGTGGTTCAATCAAACACATGAAATTTCTCAAAACATTTCTTATGTGCGCTAGAAAGTGGAGCCAAAGCAATGATTTGTACTTGGAATCTGACAATATTGTGAAGAAGGTGAGTCTTCCATCTTTCTTATCTTGCATCGAAGATACCTTTCACGAATATGAGGAGGATATTCACTCTCTTTCCCTTAGATCAGAAATGGACAAATATGGAGTGTTCCTCGAAATTGGGAAACAGATCAAATTACTTAAGCAAGAGATCATCCAAATTTACTTTGCTTTGGCAAGCAGCAGGTCATTGCAATCAAATTCTTGTATGACAGATGATGAACTGTTGGAATTCATAGACCTCATCCTCCAAAATCTAGCAGATTTGACGAATGGCTATATGGATGGGGACATTAGTGAATCGTCTATTTCTGCTGCTTTGAGTGCTCAAGTCCAAGCCCTTGAAGCAAAGCTGACATTCTTGAAAAGCTTCATTCCCTTTGCCAAAATGCGAGGAACTGCAGATATTCCTGCCTTGCTATTGGCGCACTTCGAAGTGGCGGCTTTGAACGCAGCACGCCTCTCTTACATGTGTGATTATTGGGATGATGCTGAGGAAAGGCACAATCCTCAGTTCTACTCCATGATATATGATCAACAACAGAAGATCAGAGCTGTTGATTTTCATGCCTACGAGACTTATATGGAAGTGCTTAGAGCTTCATACTGCTCAGCATCATTACATACGGCAGTGATGGATGAGCAGATATTGAACAACTTCAATGATTCTCTTATAAGTTGTCTCTGGGAGCTGTTATGCTGCAGCTCTAGCTTTATGGATTCTATGAAAGATGAAATGCAAATACTCTATGCTGGACTGAGATTCTTGAGAAGCATTTTAAGGGAGCATCAGGAGAAAATGGATGAACAAAATGAAAAAATTGGAGCTTTCCTTAGTGAGGCAGGGGTTATAATACTCTCGCCCACTCTGAACAGAGTGATAGAAGGAGAAGTTAGCTCCTTAGAATCCACCGTGGTTCTTGATTTTTGTGATATGCTGGCCAATACCAACATCAATCTTAAGCATTTTAAGGATCAGATCAGTGGCTCAAGCACTATAGAGAGTCTTCCTAATTCCTCTCATAGCTTAAGTGTACAACATGTTTGCAAGCCTTCCAGGCACATGCCATCAAAAGGAAAAATGCCAATAGCCCATGAAGTCATGGTTGGTCTTGATGATGAGGCAGAAAAAGTAATTGAATGACTTGTGAGCGGACCAGAACATGTGAAAATTGTTCCCATTGTGGGAATGGCTGGGCTTGGTAAAACAACTTTAGCCAAAAAGGTTTACAATGATGATTCAATTATCTATAACTTCCACATTCGCCTTTGGTGTACTGTTTCTCAGGAATATAACAAGAAAAGCTTGTTAACACAAATTTTGTGCTCTGATGGAAAACACTCTAGGATGGATGACTTGAATGAAGATGACCTGCTTCAAAAGCTCTATCAAAAGCTGAAGAGGAATAGGTATCTTGTTGTTCTTGATGATATCTGGGACTTTAGGGCATGGAATGAGTTGAGATATTCATTCCCAGATGAAATGAATAGAAGTAGAATCATCTTCACGAGTCGATCTTCTAATGTGGCTTCACAGGTTGAATATGGGGGGAAACCTCACTATCTTCGCCAGCTCAGTGAGAAAGAAAGTTTTGAATTACTGCAGAAGAAGGTATTTGGAAAAGAAGATTGTCCTCAAGCATTGCATGGGTTGGGAATGGAGATTGCCGAAAAGTGCAGGGGATTGCCACTTGCACTTGTTGTTGTCGCTGGAGTCCTAGCAACTATAGAGCATGATATTTGGGTTTGGGAAGAATTTGCTAAAAGTTTAACTTTAACCATGGTGTCTGGTACAGACCAGTGCAAGAAGTCGTTGGAGCTCAGTTATGAGCATTTACCATATCACTTGAAGGCATGCTTCTTGTATTTTGCTGCATTTCGAGAAGATGAAAAAATTGGTGCCAAGAATTTGATGCGTCTCTGGATTGCAGAAGGGTTTGTGGAAAAAATTGGAGGAGAGAGATCAGAGGATATTGCAGAAGAATATCTTATGGACCTAATAGGCCGAAACTTAGTTATGGCAAGTAAAAGCAAATCCATTGGTGGAGTCAGAACTTGTTACATTCACGATCTGATACTTGAGTTCTGTAAGACAGAGGCAAAGGCAAAGAATTTTCTTCAGGTCCTGCGAGGATATGATGAGCTTTCCACATTTAATGAGCATCCCAACCCACCTCGGTTGTCCATTTGCTCCAGTCGAGAAGATTTTATAAAGTCAAGGCTATTTTGTCCACATTTAGGTAGTCTGCAGCTATTCCATGATGAGACTTCAGCACATCCTCATTGGCTTAATATCTGCTTCCTTTTCTGCATCTACAAACATCTGAAGGTTTTGAAGTTAGAAGGCATTTACCTAACAAGAAAGGAGCTTCCGACTGAAATCGAATCACTTCTTTGTTTGAGGTACTTAGCCTTTAAAGCTCTGCAGATGAAATTCATTCCACCGTCTATAGCCAAGCTCTCAAATTTGGAAACCTTTTGTCTAAGATCTATGGAGACGGTTCCATTGCCAGATAGCATCTGGAACATGAAGAAGTTGAGGTATGTACATGTATGGGATGGCTGCTTTGTTTTCCCTCTTTCTTCCAATGACAACGTTGTCGAAAACCTCTCCACTTTACCCAATTTAGACACACTCTGCGATCTGTACCTTTCTTTTGATCAAGCAGAGAACTTATTGAGAAGGATTCCCAACATTCGCCGTCTTGCAATTTCCGATGGTCAGACTGGAAATGGAGTGTTGAACATGAGTCGACTAGAATGTCTGGAATCACTCACCTTAGATGTAGGCTGCTGTTCTGGTCCTCGGGGTCATTTTGAGCTTTCTTTTCCCATGAATTTGAAAAAGTTGTCTCTTTTTTGTTTGCGTCTTCCCTGTAGTGAAATGTCATTGATTGAACAACTACCCAATCTTGAGGTCCTCAAAATAGGACGCTATACATTGCACGGCAAAAGATGGGAGCTGATGGAAGGAGGTTTTCCTAAACTCAGGGTCTTGACTTTGTCCGAATTAGACATTGTGGAGTGGACAGAGACAGACCCTGACAGTGATGATTACTTCCCGTGCCTTCAGCAATTAAAACTCCACGAAATTAGACATTTGGAAATGGTGCCTGCTTGTTTAGGGCGTATATCAACTCTTGAAACAATTAAGATGGTTAGATGCAGAAATGATGTCAAATCTTTGGTAAGGGAAATTGAAGAAGCACAGAAAAGTTATGGAAATGAGAATCTGAAGATCATTGATAAAACATATTGAAGGGCATCAGCTGGTGCAGTATCAGGTAATTTTTGTCATTATCAATAATTAGCTTGCAGAAACTATTATGCATTTTTGTAATAAATGAATTTGATGGATTTCCTCTCATTTCTCTATTTATGTATTTATATTTTGGTGGCTTTTTACTTTTTTCAACTCTCAGTTGCCTGTGATGCATGCACGAGTACATTGAAATTGATGAACAAACAACTAATGATTGCTCTTTTTTTTTCCTTTTCTTTTTAATGATATTGATTGAACAAACAACTAATTATTGCTCTTCTTTTCCTTTTTTCTTAATTGATATCGGCAGGGATTTTCTTAATTGCTTATCCATGTGGTCTGGCTTTCTTTGGCGTTATTGTGGGAAGATATGGCTCTTTTCTTTTCAAGATATGGTGGAAAGAATCAATGTATTTGTACACCGTGCACCATTTTATCAGTCTGCGCAGCATAAAGGTTAATCAAATATTTTGCTGTTGGTATGGAAGAAGAAAACAGTAGAAGAAACATATATGTGTACGTATTTTGTGTAATTTTTGAGTTGCTGAATTTATTGATCTGTGGTGTGCGATAGCTTTTCATACATGTGTGAATTTGCTGAATTGGGACTGGGAAAATAGGGACAATTACGAGGTATTACAGCAAAATGTTTGGTCAATTGCAGTCAAGAAACTCTGTTAACTTTTTTCATTTTTTTTAAAAATTTTTGAGTTTGAAAGTCCATCATTTTGACACAATTCATTAACTACTTATGTTTGAGCTCATGATTCTTGAAAGAATGAGACCGCACAATTTGGAAATTCATGTCAAAAGGAAATCTCTATGATCTTCTCTTTTCTGCTCGAAACAGACAGGTTTAAGTCAAGAGCATAGCATGGTCTTTAAAGGTGGAAATTGGAATTGGGATCTCGAAAGGCGTTGCATGGCTTCATCAGGATAGAGTAGTACTCCATCGTAACATTGGTTGAAGATGTGTACTGCTCATTCATAGTTTTGAACCCGGGATTTTTAAATAAGTGTGTCTCAAAAACCTGTCTTTCTGATGATTTCAACAGTGCCACAAAAACCTGTCTTTTTTCAAAAAGTTTTATCTTTTGTCCCACTGTTCTTTTTCTTTCTTTAACTAAGGTAACTAGGCCAACATGCAGAAGAGTCTTACCTAATGAAAAGGAATAATTTTTTTCTTGATGGACAATACCAAACTGGCATTTCTCAACTACAAAGGGAGTATGAAACAGTGAAAAAATAATCAATGTGGTACATGAATTTCTGATGATTACAACTTCTCAACTACTTTGTTGATCTTTTCTTTCTCGCTCAATTTGCTGAATGGTTTAATTCTTGAATATCACATTTTTCTTCTTCGCGATCCCAGCCAGAAAAAAAAAAGGGTAAATTTCAGGAAAGTACTTTTTTTTTTTCGAAATGATAAGTTGTATTGCTTATGCCAAAAGTATGTACAATCTAAGTAAAAACTCAAGGACACTTTACAATTTGTGCATCTTAGCACAGTGGAACTGGATAAATCCATTCCACATCCTGATTTCTGCTCAGAGCTTGAGCACTAATTATGTAGCTAAGATTCGTATTTTCTATTCCTACCAAACAAAAGGAGCACATTCGAAACAAAATACTCAGCACTTGTATGTCTTCCAGCTCTGTAGCCACCCAATTGTTCTTATTCGCATTCCCTTGCAGTTGATTTAGCAGCTCTTTACTGGTTGTTTCAAATGTAATTGCAGTCCATCCCTGTTCCAAGGCTTTGATTAATGCATAGCGTATAGCTTCAGCTTCCTGTTGGATGTTGCATCCTGTCATCTTTTCTTTTAGTCCCCATCTTGCTGTGTAGCATCCTCCTTCGTCCTTGGCTGCTATACCATAGCCAACAGTGCATGTCTGTTTTTTTGCCTTGAAACTGCAACTCTTAGTACTCTGCTCCTGATTTGTTGCTGTGGTATTTCTGTTTCTGATGTGCTTCTGAGACTGAAACTCTAGCCACTCATTACTGGCCTTAGTAATGATTCTCACAGGTTCCTTTACTTTGGCCTCAAACATTTTCTCGTTCCTTGCTTTCCAAATGTGCCAAAGTATAGTTACTATGAGTGCAATGTGATCCATCCCTGCCGTCTGTGTCTTGCTTCAACAACTAATGACCACCATTTTTTGAAGTTGCCAGATAATTCCTTGATTCAATCCCATTGAATGGGAGGTAGCTTCCAAATCTCTTTAGCTCTGGCACATTCAAATAGTATGTGTTCCACTGTTTCCATCCTTTCCCCTCAACCTTTATGGTAGGGTCCCCCTTATGCATTCTCCTCCATATGAGTTCATTTACAAGTAGTCCATCACTTAAGCACTTCCACATAAACACTTTCATTTGTGCTTGACAGGCACTTTCCACAACACTTTCCATATAGGAGACTTGGGATTAGTATAGCTTGTGCTATCTTCTTGCTGTTCTACTTCTGTTTTGTTCTGCTTTTTCCTCCATATTCTTCTTTAACCTGACTGCACAGTATATTCGCCATTCTTGTTATCTTGCCAGAAAGTTCTGTCCTCTTTGTCAACCACACTAATTGGAATACTTAATATCTTCTGCTTCTTTCTCCTTAAAAAGCCTGTATATCAGAGGCCTATTCCACCTATGCCCAGTTATCAAGTCAGCCACCTTCTGCAGAGTGTAGCCTGGTGGTTTCTTGGTTACTGGTTGGCCTTGATTGCAGCCAGAAAGTTTCTTGGTTACTTCTTTCTCCTTCAGGAAAGAAGAACTTGCTAGCTTTGGAGGTGAGATTTGTTTCCCTTTAGCTGCACTAAAATTTGAGAGGGAAATTAAGGAAGATCCCTGCATCATAAGAGATGGAGATGGCCTCAACTTGCATAGATCGTGTCTTATTTCATCTCAAGTTGCTCATGAACAACTTTCGAAAAACGCCCTGGATATTATTGCTAGTATATGAATGCACCTACATATGTTGAACTTTTACAAATTAGCAAGGATAAGTATAAACATTTTTCGAAATTCAGCACCTAAAAAAAGAAAAACATTTTTTGGCCAGTTGGGGCACAGAGAGGTGATTAATGTAATTTTTTTTTTTTGAGCCAAGCAAGGAACGGGCCCCTCCTGGCACAATTTCAAAAGTCAGTAGACATCCTTCTTCAAGGAACCTGACTTCCATACTTGAATTTTTAGCACAACTATTCAGCATGATGAAGTAAAATTCGATTTTAAAACTTCTGGACTCCCAATGCTGCGTATTACGGATCCAGCGTATGCCTCCAACTAACCCTTATAATCAATGTTTTAAAAATCAGACGAGATCGACCAGTTCAATTGATCAGACCGCAAATCGATCGTATCTCTGGTCCGATTCATGCTTTGGATTGATTATACTTAAAAACAAAATTAAACCGTTCAAACCATGCGAATCGGATTGAACCATTGAACCGACGGTTTTTTTGTTTTTGTCTATTAAATTGAAATTTTTTTAAAAAAGAATAGGTTTTTCTTAACCCTAAAGACTAATTATTAAATGTCACATTCACTCACTTTCTTCTCATTTTTTGCCTCTTATCAAGTTTGTATTTCTATTTTCTATTTTCTATTTTCTTGACTTCCTCCATACTCTAAGCTTCTTTTTTTTTAAGGTTGTAATATCTAAATATCAAAAACTTGAATTAAAATTTAAACTCACAATGTCTAATTCTCATAGACGTGAATTTTGTATAATTTCAGAATATTGTGGTATTTTTGGATTGGATTTAAGATTATTATTTTTGGTAAATTCAATTAAGATTGAGATTAAATTTATTTGTTTCAACTTATAATTTAAAAAATTTATTTGTGAAAATCTAAGTTCTTTGAAAATATTAAAATTTTCATCATATAAAATCTTAAATTAGTCCAATGCATGTCTTATTTTGTGCATATATATTTATATAAATTATTTTTTAAGAAGTTCATTGAACCAGGATTGAACCAATTCAACTAGTTGAACTTTAACCCGAACACCTCATCGGTTCAATTAACGGTCCAAGTTTCAAAACATTGCTTATAATATAATGGGTTAAAAACAAAAAAAAAAAGCCCCATGTGGTATACCTTAGAAATAAAAAAGCCCCCGTGATTTCAAAACATACAAAACGACACCTTATGTTTTAAACTAAATTGTAAAACATCAATAACCTTTGATTAACTTATGTTTTCCTCCTCGACCCTAATATAGATATTGATGTTTTCCGTGTTGGAAGTTAATCAAAAGTCCTGTTTGATAACTCAATTCAGTATTTAAAATTAATGGGTTTAGATCTTAAAATATTCAGACGTGTTTGATAACAAAAAATTGAACATCTAAATTAATTAATTAGCACTTAATTTTCTAGATAAAATTTGCTCCCAAAAATAAGTAATAAGCTATTCACTTATCATTTCATGTGATATACACTCAAATATATCAAATTGATATTTAACAATTCAATAACTTAATAGATTCAAACTTCAAATTTTTAGATTATAAATAAAAGGTGTAGACATCATTTACTCACTTTTTAACTTTTTCTTTCATTTTTCTTTTTTCTTCTATTAATCAACTTGGAAAATGCTCTAAACATTCTTGGGAGAATTTTTTTATATTACTATAAGGAAATTCTAGATTTTGGCTTTGTAATTCCTAGAAGAAATTGCCACAATGGGAGCAAATTTTCTTGAGGAATGTGAATCTATTTGTATCAAAGCCATATTCTATATTCCATAGTTGTAGTTATTTTTCTAACATTTTAACTTGAAGAGTTGTCAATTGTGATGCTTCGAAGTTTTTCGATTATTGTCTAAGTTGAAACTTGAGTGGTATTTATGGTAATACTTGGGGCACAAGGCTCGGCTGTGGATAGAATTTTTGTTTAATGAACTTTTTTTAAAAAATCATCTGTAAGTTTAATATAATGCTACTACATTAAATAGAAGTGTTTTTGGGTTATTTTGATAGTAAAGTTGTTTAGGGAAATTAGTCGAAGTCTCAAGTAATTTTCATCGTCAATTTCCAACGCATCCATTTCCCTAAAGAGCTTAGTTTTTAAAGATGAACACCTGATATTGAAATCACAACGCAAGCCATGACTTTCACCATAAGCCCTACCACAACCACAGCTAACATTAGCGATCTATATGTGATTTCTGACTTCAATAATTTTACTGCATCTAATGTTCCTTAATAAATCTATACCCAACAAGACCAGTTCAATGACAGAAATAACTGTTAGATCACTAACTCGATATTCCATTAAAATTCTTTTTTGTTCCATTTATGACACGCCTGTTGTTTATGAAGAAGAATGCTTGTCTGATATGCCACCTCACATGCACTTGAATATTTTATTGCCTTCAAACCTGTGCAATAATAAATACCTGCTTAAATAAAATACAAATTCTGTATATAGCGGTAAGCAGGGTCGAATCCACAGGGACTGGGGATAATTTAATTTCTTCTCAAGTTCCAGATATGGGGGGTTTTGAAAATGAGAGTAACTAAATTACTTGGAATAAATTAATTAAAATAAAATAACTACAACTCAAATAACTAATTGTCACACTAAAAATAATGATGGACGAACTCTAGCCAATAGACAACTTCGGAGATGGTTCACTTAATTCGATCACAGATGCAAGGATTATTCCAGTTACTATCTGATAAATTAGTTATAGTTGTCATACACGCGATAAACAACCAACTCTTCCTCAATTTGTCGATAGCCAAGGTACGACCGTTGACTATTTCTCTAATCAGGAAATAACCCTAGGTACGACAATAGAAGTTCAATTCCCTAATTGCATGAATAATTAGAAGAGCCTAATTCTAACCAATCAACACGCTACGAGGGTCTCTTTAAGTTAGCCTGCCTATCTCCCTGACACAAACCCAATCATGCCAGTTGCCACCAGTTTAGAATAATTAAACAATTACGGATTTAACTACCCTAATTGGCTTCAGGTTATTGAATTAATCTAGAATCCGGGCCCTGGATAATCGAATAATAAAACAACCATATGAACATAAAGCAGAAGATAGACAAATACCAGTGAATAATGGGAATAAATAAAAACTAATTCGATCTCACAAATTTAGTAGAACCAAATCCTCCGTTGTTCTTGACTAGACAAATTTAGCCACGCCTCATGAGAAAATCTTCAAGTAATTTCACTCAGGTCCAGGCCATCAAAAGAGCCAAGATAAAAAAGAAAAAATAAACTATGCTAAAAGCTTAAACTAAAACTATTGATTGATAAGAGTTCTCTGCACGTTTGTCTCCCTTTTTAAAGCCAACTCGCCCAGTGGTGGTTCAGTCCCCTCCGGGTTTCCCAGAACCTCTTCAAGTCTTCCCTCCTCATAGTGTATAGGAAGTTATTGTATCAAAAAAAAAAAAGTCAATAAAATTTCTTTACTTTATTCAAACCAAGATCATTTCCAGATTATTTGACCGCTCTCTCGTTAACTTTGATTCATCTGTTCTTTCTTGACCTCGCTCCGTTTGTCTGTTGAATAATTTATTATCTCATTTCTCATTCTTCACCTTCCCACTAGGAAAAAAAATTTCGGGCTGCTTGCTCTGCAGTCGGCTAGATCTTTTTCTCCCTTAAAATTTGAGAGTGAAACTAAGGAAAAATCCCTGCACAACAGATGGACGTGGCCTCCACTTGCAGCGTCGATCGTGTCTTCCTTGATCTAAAGTTGCTTGTGGACAACCTCAATGTCATGTTCCGAACAGGCAAAATTGGATATACGTACGTGGGTGTAACATTTCTCAAAATTGAAGCTGCGTACCTGAACATAACATTTCTCAGAACATTTGTTATGTGTGCAAGAAATTGGAGCTACGGCAGTGATTTTCACTTGGAATCCGAGAATGTTGGTAACGAGGTGAGTCTTCCATCTTTTTTATCTTGCATTGAAGATACCGTTAACAAATATGAGGAGGACATTCACTCTCTTTACCTTATGTTGGAATCTGATGCACGTGGCATACGTGATGTTGGCGATGAAGTGGTTTTTAAATTTTTGAAACAGATCAAATCATTTAAGCAAGCAATCATCCAAGTTTATTTTGCTTTGGCTAGCAGCAAATCATTGGAAACAAATTCTTGCATGCCTGTTGATGAACTAATGGAATTTATAGACAGCATTCTGCAAAATCTAGCGGATTTAACAACTATCGATTTGTGTATTGTTGAAATGGATCCCCAAGTTAGTGTTCAAGTCCAAGCCCTTGAAGCAAAGCTAACATTCTTGAAAAGCTTCATTCCCTTTGCCAAATTGCGAGGAACTGTAGATATTCCTGCCTTGCTGTTGGCTCACTTTGAAGTGGTGGCTTTGAACGCAGCATGCCTCTCTTACATGTGTTCTTGTTGGGATGATGCGTTCTGCAATCCTGAGTTCTGCTCCATGATATATGAGCAACAACAGAAAATCACGCCTATTGATTTTCAAGTCTATGAGATTTATATGGAAGTTCTTAGAGCTACAAGATCCTCAAAATCATTGCATAATAGAATGATGGATAAGCAGATATTGAACAACTTCAATGATTCTCTCATAAGTTGTCTCTGGGAGCTGTTATGCTGCAGCTCTAGCTTCATGGATTCTATGAAACATGAAATGCAAATACTCTATGCAGGACTGAGGTTCTTGAGAAGCATTTTAAGGGAGCAGCAGGAGAAGAGGGATGAACAAAATGAAACAATTGGTGCTCTTCTTAGTGAGGCAGGCATTATAATTTGCTCGCCTTCTCTAAACAGAGCGGAAGAAGGAGAAGTTAGCTTCTCAAAATCCACAGAAGCCTTTGCCTGTTATGATATGCTGGCTAATACCAACATTCGTATCGAGCATTTTAAGGATCAGATCAGTGGCTCAAGCATTATTGAAAGTGTTCCTTCCTTTCATAGCTTAAGAGCAACAGAAGTTAGCAAGACTTCCGGCCGCATGCTATCAAAAGGTAAAATGCCAATAGCCCATGAAGTCATGGTTGGCCTTGATGATGAGGCAGCAAAAGTAATTGAACGACTTATATGGGGAACAAAACAGGTGGAAATTGTTCCCATTGTGGGAATGGCTGGGGTTGGTAAGACAACTTTAGCCAAAAAAGTTTACAATGATAGTTCAGTAATCTGTAACTTCCACATTCGTCTTTGGTGCACTGTTTCTCAAGAATTTAACATGAAAAGCTTGTTAATACAAATTTTGTGCTCTGATGCCAAACATTCCAGGATGGATGATGACTTTCAAAAGGATGAACATGCATTGCTTGAAATGTTCCGCAAAAAGCTATTGAAGAATCGGTATCTTGTTGTTTTTGATGATGTATGGGACACCGGGGCATGGCATGAGCTGGGAATTGCATTCCCGGATGACAAGAATGGAAGTAGAATCATCTTTACGAGTCGATCTTCTAATGTAGCTTCACGGGTTCAATATGGTGGAGAACCTCACTATCTTCACCCACTCAGTGAGAAAGAAAGTTTTGAATTACTGCAGAAGAAGGTTTTTGGAAAAGAAGATTGTCCTCAAGCATTGCATGGATTGGGAATGGAGATCGCCAAAAAGTGCAAGGGATTGCCACTTGCAATTGTTGTTGTAGCTGGAGTCCTAGTAACTATAGAGCATGATATTTGTGTTTGGGAACAATTTGCTGAAAGTTTAACTTCAACCACGGTGTCTGGTGCAGAACAATTCAAGAAGTCGATGGAGCTCAGTTATGAGCATTTACCATATCACTTGAAGGCATGCTTGCTGTATTTTGCTGCATTTCGAGAGGATGAAAAAATTTGTGCCAAGAAGTTGATGTGTCTCTGGATTGCAGAAGGGTTCGTGGAAATAATTGAAGGAAAGAGATCAGAGGATATTGCAGAAGAATATCTGATGGACCTAATTCATCGAAACTTAGTTATGGTAAGTGAAAACAGATCCATTGGTGGAGGCAAAACTTGTTACATTCACGATTTGATATTAGAGTTCTGTAAGACTGTGGCGAAGGAAAAAAATTTTCTTCAGATCCTGCGAGGATATGATGAGCTTTCTATCTTTAATGAGCCTCCCAACCTACATCGGTTGTCCATTTGCTGCAGTGAAGAAGATTTTATAAAGTCAAAACTATTTTGTCCAGATTTAGATACTCTGCTATTCTTCAATGCTACTCCAGGAGATAAGTTTGGGATGCTTAATATCTCCCCCTTTTTTTGCATCTACAAACGTCTTAAAGTTTTGAATTTAGAGGACATTAACCTAATGTTGAAGGAGCTTCCAGCTGAAGTCGAATCACTTCTTTGTTTGAGGTACTTAGCCCTTCGTACAGCTCAGCCCATGGAATTCATTCCACCATCTATAGCCAAGCTCTCACATTTGGAAACCTTCCGTCTAAATTCTTGCACGACGGTTTCATTGCCAGATAGCATCTGGAACATGAAGAAGTTGAGGCATGTACATGTACAGCGTAACTGCATTATTCTTCTCTCTTCCAGCGACAACGTTGTTGAAAACCTCTCCACTTTACCCGATTTAGACACACTCTCAAATCTGTGTCTTTATCTTGATCAAGAGGGAGAGAACATATTGAGAAGGATTCCCAACGTTCACCAACTTCAAATTTTCAATTGTGGGGGACGAAATAGAGGCGTGGGCACGTCTAACTACCATGAAGGTCGCAGAACCTGAGCGAAAATTTCCTCCGTCAGGCGTGACCATCTGGCGTGGGCACGTCTAACTACTATGGAGGTCGCAGAACCTGAGCGAAAAGTTCTTTCCTTCAGGCGTGACCGCCTGGCGTGGGCACGCCTAACTGCTAATTCCCCTGCCACCAAACATCAAACCATTACTTGACACTAACACTTAACTAAAACTTCAAAAATGCATGAAAACTGAAACAAATAGTTTTGGGTTGCCTCCCAAGTAGCGTCTTTCTTTAATGTTTTTGGCTAGACATTTTCATGTGTATTCATGGAGGATAAAATCTTGTGGCTCGTTTCAGTGCTTCATCTTCTATGTAATCCTGATAGCCCTCGTAAATAGAGTAATTCTTGGGCACACGAGCTACGGGCTTCCATGGACTAGTAAATGGCACCAAACAAGCAAGTGGTGATCTTAAATCTTCACTCACTCCTCCATCAAGAGCACTTATGGGTTCGAGATATTTTGCCATCATGACTCTTAATTTATTCCTGGCATGAAATTCAAAATCGTCTGGTATAATAAAATCAATCTCACTAACAGGAATTAAAGAATAAGAGTCAGGAAAATATTGATCAAGGAATGGAGGAGATGTCACCGCATTTGGAGATTGTTCACTGGATTCATTCACTTGAACCATTTGATGTTGGGGTCTCAATTCTTGCGCTTCAACTTTCTTTTCAACTGCATCTTTAGATTCTTCTTCTTGAGACCCTTGCAATACCATGTCCTTTGTCAGAATAATTGCACTCTCATCTTCCTCATGGTCGATAATAGTCGGTGAGGGCAATTCTTCATAAACTGGAGAGATCAATTTGCTCATTTTAGATGCCCATTCACGCCTTCCTTCTTTCATCTCTTCACTCATCTTTTGTGTCTCCTGTTGAAGTTGATGTACCTCCTGTTGAATTTGATATGTGTTAGTAGCTATTAATTCAACTATTTCTTCAAGAGACATACCTGACATGGATGACGGTTCTTGAGACTCTAGCTGTTGAAAATCTAGTGGCCCTGTTGTATAATTATAACTGGAGTTATCCCACCATCCTTGATCATACCCGTTTGGATTAGGGTTATACCACGTTTGAGACCATGGTGAAAAATCTCCATAATTATTGAGTGGGACACTCATATTATTTTGATATTCGGGGCACATACCGGTCGAATGATCCCTGGCATAACAAATTTTACAGGTTGCAGCAGCCATTCTTTCTCTAATAGAGTTTACTGCCTCTGAATATGCAAACTTAGCAAAAAAACTAGTCTCATCGCTTTCCCCGGAAACAAAATCCAGTCTATCACCAAAATACGGAGTGTTAGAAGCCATAAACTATAATAAAAAAAATAAGGGAAAAATAAATAAAAAATAAAAAAATAAAAACAAGATTAACTCAAACAGAAACAAATTAATCTGGCACCAGTCCCCGGCAACGGCGCCAAAAATTGACAGGCGTCTAACCTGTGCAATAATAAATACCTGCTCAAATAAAATACAAATTCTGTATATAGCGGTAAGCAGGGTCGAATCCACAGGGACTGGGGATAATTTAATTTCTTCTCAAGTTCCAGATATGGGGGGTTTTTGAAAATGAGAGTAACTAAATTATTTGGAATAAAATAAAATAAAATAACTACAACTCAATTAACTAATTATCACAATAAGAATAATGATGGACGAACTCTAGCCAAGAGACAAGTTCGGAGATGGTTCACTTAATTCGATCACAGATGCAAGGATTATTCCAGTTACTATCCGATAAATTAGTTATAGTTGTCATACACGCGATAAACAACCAACTCTTCCTCAATTTGTCGATAGCCAAGGTACGACCGTTGACTATTTCTCTAATCAGGAAATAACCCTAGGTACGACCATAGAAGTTCAATTCCCTAATTGCATGAATAATTAGAAGAGCCTAATTCTAACCAATCAACACGCTACGAGGGTCTCTTTAAGTTAGCCTGCCTATCTCCCTGACACAAACCCAATCATGCCAGTTGCCACCAGTTTAGAATAATTAAACAATTACGGATTTAACTACCCTAATTGGCTTCAGGTTATTGAATTAATCTAGAATCCGGGCCCTGGATAATCGAATAATAAAACAACCATATGAACATAAAGCAGAAGATAGACAAATACCAGTGAATAATGGGAATAAATAAAAACTAATTCGATCTCACAAATTTAGTAGAACCAAATCCTCCGTTGTTCTTGACTAGACAAACTTAGCCACGTCTCATGAGAAAATCTTCAAGTAATTCCACTGAGGTCCAGGCCATCAAAAAAGCCAAGAAAGAAACAAAACTAAAAACTAAGCTAAAACTATTGATTGATAAATAGTTCTCTGTATGTTTGTCTCCTCTTTAAAGCCAACAATGACTAAAGCTTCTTATCCCTGTGGTCCCCTGCTGAAATTGAGAATCAACCCAAAAGTGGGACTCTATCGAATTCCTTGCTTTTAGTTTCCTATTGCCCGTAGGACTCCAATCTCCTAATCAGCAAAGGAAATGCAATCTCTTTGTAGTACCATGTGGGCCCGATTGTTTGAAATCCCAATTATCTCCAAAAAGTCCCTCATTTTTGTAGTTTTCTGTTTCACTTCCTGAAATTGAGTCAAATACCAAATATAAGTAAATATTAATAATTAAAACAATATTTGGCAAGGATAAAGGGGAAAATTAACAATAAAATAACCAACAATTAACACCCTATCACTAATGTTCCTTAATAAATCTATACCCAACAAGACCAGTTCAATGACAGAAATAACTGTTAGATCACTAACTCGATATTCCATTAAAATTCTTTTTTGTTCCATTTATGACACGCCTGTTGTTTATGAAGAAGAATGCTTGTCTGATATGCCACCTCACATGCACTTGAATATTTTATTGCCTTCTTGTTCTCCGCTTGATCCTGTTATTGAACCATACGGGCCAAGAAATGTCAATGCTTCATTAGGAGGAGAGAATGCAGGTACAAAAGTATAATTTATCCTATATTTATATATCTTTTTTTTATTTTTTTTAATGGGAAAGAGATGGAACTTAAGAAATGAAGAGGAGAAAGGAGGATTAGAATTCAAAATCTCCAAATCCTAGTCATTGAAGTCATTTTGGGTTTTTAATAGAATAATTTAACATTTTAGCTAATTAATTCCATCGCGGAGGACGATATCCATCAGTTTGATGTTGTACTTCAAAGCATTGGAATTATGTACATTTGACAGTATAATGATTATACGAAGATGCACTAAATTATACGGGGTTAAAGTATAATATATCCAAAAATCTTTTAAAACGAAAGGCAAGTCTAGGTTCACAACTACTAAATGAATATAAAAACTCCAATCTCTTTACTTTAATGAAAGTGAATTAGCTTGCAGAATCAATCATGCATTTTTCTTTCAAATGAAATTAATTGATTTCCTCTAATTTCTCTATTTCTCTATTTATTTTTGGTGGCTTTGTACTTTTTTCAACTTTCAGTTGCCTGTAATATCTTATGATATATTATTCTTTAGATACTAAAAATTTTTATGAAATTTTGATCATCGACATCATAATATAATATTTTTATGTTATTTATTTTTTAAGCTAGTTACTTTTAAAAGTTTTATTAAATGAAAAGAGAGAAAACATTCCAATGTAGTTGACTCCCTTAGGATTGAATTTGAAAGGGAAATTTGCCAAATTGGTCCCTAACATTTTCCAAAAACACTTTTTTAGTCCATAACATATAAAATCAGCCAAAATGATCCTTAACATTTAAATTATGAGCCAATTTGGTCCTATTGCTCGTTTTTGCTCATTTCTCCGGCTAAAAATAGCACGCCCCCCTCACGTGGTCATCTTTTTAGGGGCAAAACCGGAAAACACATTTCATTACCGGTTGAAAGAAGCCATCTTTCCTTCATCTAATCACCTCACTAACCCATTGAAATTGAAGAGGGAAAATACAGCAGCAAGAAATTGGGAAGAAGAAGCTGACCTTTGAAGAGTAAAATGGATCCAAACATGCGATGTCTTTGTGGAAAGGAACCCATCATTGTGACTTCTTGGAAACCTGCAAATCCGGGGAGAAGATTCTATGGTTGTCCAAATTATGGAGTAAGTTTTCTTGAAATTTCAGGTCAGTTTGGGTTTGGGATGTGGGGTTAAAATTTGGTCTTGATATCTGATGTTCTTCGTGCATTTTAGGTAACTCGTGCTTGTGGCTACTTCAAGTGGTATGACCCGCCAATGTGTAGTAGATCTGTGTCAATAATACCAGGTCTATTAAGATCAATCAACCGGCTACAAGCTGATCAAGAACAGAGAATCCGAAGAGAGAAATTGCTTTGGGCTGCTTTGGTTGCCTGCACTTTGCTGTTGTTAATAAGCTGGAATTAAACAAAAATTGGAAGATAGTTATTGGTGGGTCTAACATGTTGTTTAATTCTGTCTGGCTTTATCGGAGGATGTGAATCCGAGAGCATGTAGCAGCATCCAAAATATGAGGAGGCTTTGTTGTACCTGCTGCACTTTTGTTAATGGTTGTGTAATAGTAACAGCAGCACTTTTGGTAATTATTGTGTAATAGGAAAGGCTCATGTTTGTACCATTAACAATTATGAATGCAAAGCTGCTTTTTGGTCAATTGATTGTCGGAAAGGGAAATTTGCTAATGTAAAAGTGAAGATGATGAATGGCCATGTCTCTTAACATTGAATTTGAAGACAATAAGCTGCAGATACACTCAAATTTAAACATCAATAATTGATAAGAATGGATGTAAAAAAACTGGAAATTTGTGGTCAAGACTGAGAATCAATCCCTTAGGTAATTAAGGTGCCTTTTGCTCCATTTTCTACTGTGCATTGCAAATGTAATTCTGTGTATAACTCTGTTTAGAGATTTCTTTAGTAATTTGTTGCTCATGACTAACAATTTCACAGGAACAAATATAAAATTCCAGAAACTGAAAATTCAAAACCTACAAGATT